TACCACAATTTCTGTATCCGTTCCTCAGTTAAGAGACATCTGGCTCCTTCTAGATTTTACCTATTACAAATCAAGCTGCCATGAACATAGCTGAACAAATGTCCTTGTTATATACTTGAGAAATTTTGGATATATGGCTAGGTGTGGTATAGCTGGGTCTTAAGGTAGCACAATTCCTAATTGTCTAATAGAGCATGAAATTGATTTCCAAAATGCTTGTACAGGTTTACATTCCCACCAGCAATGGAGGAGGGTTCCCTTTCTCCACATCCTATCCAGCATGTATTGTCACTTGAAATTATGATCTTAGCCATTGTGATGAGTGTATGGTGAAAATTCCAGTTGTTTTGACTTGCATTTCCCTGATGACTAAGGATCTTTATCATTTTTTTAAGTGTTTCACTGTCATCTGATATTCTTCTATTGAGACTTCTCTGGTCAGCTCTGTACCCCATTTTTTTAATTGGATTACGTGATTTGTTGCTTTTTAAATTCATAGAAGAAAAAGTGCATTAGGATCTTGAACTAATTGGCACAGGAGACAACTTCCTGAACAGAACACCAATAGCACAGGCTCTAAGATCAACAATTACAAAAAGGGGCCTAATGAAACTGAAAAAGTTCTGTAAAGCAAAGGACACTGTCATCAGAACAAAAGGGCAGGCTCAAGACTGGGGAAGGTTCTTTACATACCTTGACATATCTGACAGAGAGCTAATATCCAGAATATTTAAAGGAATCAAGTTTTTTAGTTATTTCGTAAATGTCCCTTTCTTTTTTAAATCAAAATTTTTATATTACTTACATTTTATTTACTTTGTATCCTAGCTGTATTCCCTTCTCTCAATTTCTCCCAATGCCATCCTCCCTTCTTCATCTCTTCCCATGCCACTCTCCAAGTCCACTGATAGTGAAGGTTTTCCTCCTCTTCCATCTGACATTAGCTTATCAGGTCTTATCAGGACATATTGCATTTTCCTCTTCTTTGGTCTAGCAGGGCTGCTCCCCTCTGAGGTTGGGGGGGGAGAGAGTGTTCCAAGAGCCTGCCAATGAGTTCATGTCAAGTACCTTGGTGTGACTCTAACCAAGCAAGTGAAAGAACTATTTGAATATGAAAGCAGTGCTAAGAGGAAAATTCATAGCACTAAGTGCCTTCAGGAAGAAATTTGAAACATATCATAAAGCAACTTAAGGGTGCACATGAAAGCACTAGATAAAAAGAAAAGAATCAGAAACACCCAACAGGAGTAGACAGCTGGAAATATTCAAGCTCAGGGCTGAAGTCAATCAATTAGAAACAAATAAAATATTTCGAAGAATCAATGAACCAAGAAATGGTTCTTTGAGAAAATCAACAAGATAGACAAACCCTTAGCCAACTAAGTAAAAGGCAGAGAGGAACTATCCAAATCAGCAAAATCAGAAAGGAAAAGGGGAACATAACAACAGACATTGAGGAAATCCAAACAATCATTAGGTCTTACTACAAAAGCTTTAATGTCACAAAATTTGAAAATCTAAATGAAATGGACAATTCTCTTGATAGACTCTATTTACCAAAATTAAATCACCATCAGGTAAATAGATTGAATAGTCCTATATCCCCTAAGGAATAGAAGCAGTCTTCAACAGTCTCCCTTCCAAAAGAAGCTCAGGGCCAAATGGTTTCAGTGCAGAACTCTATCAGAGCTTCTAAGAAGAGCTAACTCCAATTGTCTGAAACTATTCCACAAAATAGAAACAGAAGGAACAATACAAACTCATTCTATGAAGCCACACAAAGTCACCTTGGTACTTGACCCAACAAATAAAGAGAACTTCAGGCCAATCTTCATTATAAACATTGATGCAAAAATAATCAACAAAATACTTGCAAATCAAATACAAGAACACATCAAAGATATCATCCACTATGAATAAGTAGGCTTCATCACAGGTATGGAGGGGTGGTTCAATATACAGAAATCAATCCATGTGATCCACCATATTAACAAACTGATAGAAAAAAAACACATGATAATCTCCTTAGATGCTGAAAAAGCATTTGACAAAATCCAACATCCATTCATGTTTAAAGTCTTGGAGAGATCAGGGATAAAAGGCACATATCTAAACATAGTAAAGGCAATATACAGCAAACTATAGCCAACATCAAACTAAACCGAGAGAAACTTAAAACAATCCCAGTGTAATCAGGGTCAAGGCAAGGCTGCCCACCCTCTCCATATCTCTTCAACATAGTTCTTGAAGTCCTTACTAGAGCAATAACAGTTGAAGGAGATAAACGGGATACAAATTGGAAAGGAAGAAGTCAAATTATCACTACTTGCAGATGATATGATAGTTTGCCTGAGTGACCCCCAAAACTCTACCAGGGAACTCCTACAGCTGATAAACACCTTCAGCAAAATGGCTGGATACAAAATTAACTCAAAAAAATCAGTAGCCCTCTTGTATACAGAGAAAAAGGGGGGTGGCTGAGAAAGCAATCTGGGAAACAACACCCTTCACAATAGCCACAAATGACATAAAGTACCTTGGTGTAACCCTAACCAAGCAAGTCAAAGACTTGTATGAAAGAAAATTCAAGCCTTTGAAGAAAGAATTATCAGACGACATCAGAAGATGGAAAGATCTCCCATGCTCATGGCTTGGCAGGATTAACATAGTAAAAATGGCCGTCTTACCAAAAGCAATCTACATATTCAATGCAATTCTCATCAAATTACCAACACAATTCTTTACAGACCTGGAAAGAAAAATTCTCAACTTCATAAGGAATAACAAGAAACCTAGAATTGCTAAAACAATCCTCTACAATAAAAGATCTTCTGGAGTTATCTCCATCCCTGATCTTAAGCTTTACTATAGAGTAACATTAATAAAAACTGCATGGTACTGGTATAGAAACAGAATGGTGGATCAATGGAACCGAACAGAATACCCAGAAATAAACCCACACACTTCCGGACACCTGATTTTTGACAAAGGTATCAAAACCATAAAATGGTAAAAGATAGCATCTTCAACAAATGGTGCTGGTCTAACTGGATATCTACATGTAGAAAAATGCAAAGACATCCATACTTATCACCCTGCACATAAGTAAAGTCCAGGTGGATCAAAGACCTCAACATAAAACCAGACACATTAAATCGCTTAGAAGAAAAAGTTGGGAAGACCCTAGAACTCATTGGTACAGGAGGCAACTTTCTGAACAGAACACCAAGAGCACAGGCTCTAAGAGCAACAATCAATAAATGCGACCTCATGAAATTGAAAAGCTTCTGTAAAGCAAAGGGCACCGTCATCAAAACAAAACGAATGCCTAGAGATTGGGAAATAATCTTCACCAACCCTTTATCTGACAGAGGGCTAATATCCAGTATATATAAAGAACTAAAGCTGAAAATCAACAAGCCAAGTCATCCAGTTAGACTAAGATCAGAAAGGAGAGGAGAACCTCCCCTATCAGTGGACTTGGGGAGTGGCATGCATGCAGAAAGGGAAAAGGGAAGGGAAGGTGGGAATTGGAGGGGAGAAGGGAGGGGCTTATGGGGGGATACAAAATGAATAAAGTGTAATTAATAAAAAATTAAAAAAATTGGGGAACAGAGCTAAACAGAGAATTCTCAATAGGGTAATATCGAATGGCAGAGAAATACTTAAAGCAATGCTCAACCTCATTAGCCATGAGTGAAATACAAATCAAAGGGACCCTGAGATTTCACCTTACACCCATCAGAATGGCTAAGATCAAAAACACAAGTGACAACACATGCTGAAGAGGTTGTGGAGAAAGGGAAACCCTCCTCCACTGCTGGTGGGAATGTAAACTTGTACAACCACTCTGCAAAGCAATCTGGTGCATTCTCAGATGACTAGGAATAGTGCTTTCTCAAGATCCAGCCATACACTCTTAGGCAAATATCCAAAAGAGGCTCAAGTACACAGTAAGGACATTTGCTTATCCATGTTTGTAGCAGCTTTATTTGTAACAGCCAGAAGCTGGAAACAACCCAGAGGCCCCTTAACTGAAGAATGGATAGAGAAATTGTGGTTCATCTACACAATGGAATATTACTCAGCAATGAAAAACAAGGAAATCATGAAATGGTGGGAACTGGAAAGGATCATCCTGAGTGAGCTGTCCCATAAAAAGACAGACACACGGTATATACTCACTCATATAGACATATAATATAGGATAAACCTACTGAAATCTGTACACCTAAAGAAACTAGGAGTACAAAATCTAGAGGGTGGACTCTGGCTAAAATGTTCAATCCCCATTGAGAAAGGCAAAGAGGATGGACATCTGAAGAAGAAGAAAGCAGGAAACAAGTTAGGAGCCTCCCACAGAGGGCCTCTGAAAGGCTCTGCCCTGCAGACTATCAAACAGATGTTGAGACCTAAAACAATTTTTAGTTTTTCAAAATTAATTCGTTAGAAATTCGATGCATAAATCGAGTCTATCTTAATCATATCTACTTCATGTGTCTTCCCTCCAAGTGTTCTTGAGGTTGTGGAATCAAATAGCAATTGGATTGAATTGGCTGTGTTTTCACTGTGAACCTTGTTTTTCAGGACAGTGTGGATGTCATGAAGCATTATGGCTTATATTTCCTGTCAGTATACATGGATTAGAGTTTTACACTTTGTTAATTAGAGTTTTACACTCTGATAATAACTTACTCCTTTTCTGTGAGGTAAACTCTGAGCTTATTGAAGTAAACCATACATTTATTTTCAAGGTTAACATCTACTGTTAGTGATAAATATGATTGGGGTAAACTAACTTTATTGATAGGCATTTTATTCACTTAACAAAAGAAAATGGGCTTGTGATAGACTTGGATATTTCTAAAGAAAATGCTTTTTATTATGTAAAAGGAGACAGATTATACCCACATACGCATTCAAAAGGTATAAAATTAGAAGAAACTTCTCACCAAAGGCCTGTCATGGACCACCCTGAAGCAGACAGGATTGATATGCACTTAACAGTTTTCCCTGGTTATTCGACACATCAGTGTTTTGAGATGAAATAAAGTGAAATATATATCTTCGCATAGGCAGCTGCAAAGGTTAAATATTGCCCAAAACTGATCATTTCTGAGACTTGATTTTATGTATGGAAGATGTTGCCAGCGTGGGAAATTTTCCTGTATCTTTTCTGTAGGATAGGCCTAAAAATCAAAATAATAGTTACTTGTTGAGTATATTGTTAGTGTTCCTTGTTTAGTATATGTGCAGTCAGAAAATACATTCAGAAATGTACTGCTTCCATCAAAGGTATGGGTTTTCATTTATGTAGGCCAGGAGACTGTCCAGCAGTTCATCTTTTAGGAAGTATGATCAAGACTCATATGAATGTGTTCTAATAAACAATGGATCACAGACAAATAAGTACTTCTTTTCAAAAACAGAGGGAAAGTAGAAAGTTTCACTTTGACTCTGGGACATTGGAAGACCTAGTGACAATTTCTCACTTAGAACACTCTTACATATCATTTGTATATCACAGAAGCTGATATGCGCCAACATTTGTTTATACATTTCAACTAAATCTATATCCATGAAGTTTATGAATGAAAATCTGACCTGTAATGCATATCAGATGGTGATTGAATATATGAAGCCTAGGGATGACTATATTAGAAGGAGCTGAGCTCTTTCAGTCTATCCGGGACAGGAGTCCTCTAAGGGCTTAATAGTAACAGTTGTGTTTAATTATGATCTCCAGAGTGGTAGTGATGAGAAGCATCTCTGAGAAGGTTGGAGCTGCCAGCATTCTCACAGTCCAGTGGTTCTCAACTTTCCCAAGCTCTAGTGAACACCATCCATAAACTAATTTTTGTTGCTACTACATATTTGTGATTTTTGGAAATAGTCATAATGTAAATACATGATATACAAGATATCTGATAGGCAACTGCCATGAAAGGGTCCTTAAACCCCCAGGGGAGTCATGACCCACATGTTGAGAACCACTGTGTTAGGAGAACATTATCCACAAGTTCAGATATTTGCAAGTTAGTCTGGAAATATGAGGTATTTCCATTTATTTTAATTTAGACAACCCACATCTTTTATGAATGAGAATAAGTAATGGAAATTTTCTCACCTTGGTGAATATCCATCTAAGATCATCCAGGAGTTCTCTGTTGTTCTCTTCAATCTCTTTGGCTTTTAAAAGGATACTTTCAGGAACATCGTCCATGGCACTCAGTTCAACCACAAGATGGTACAGAGGGGCATCCCAGGCACCCACAAAATTGATCAGCATTTTTAAATATTTTTCGGTCTGAGGAAACACAATAGAATCATTATCGTATTACATTAAAACAATTTCAATGAAGCAGGTTTTTTCACGCAATGCTCATGTGAAGAAACTGAATTGACAAATGTTTTCACTGTGTGTATCTGACCCATGTTGTAAAGATGGTACATGGTCTGGAATGAAAAATTTAAACTATATTATCTATGAAAATGAAAGAGATTATAATGATTATAAATTAATATTTTTTCTGAGATTAGGTCATCATATTTTGTTCTCCCTATGAAATTCTAACAGCCTCTGCTCTACTGAGATATTTATTAATTGTTTATTTCTCTATTAATTGGTAAAACAGGTGTTTCTGGGACTCAATAGGACCAATAAGATTTGACTGAAGAAATAGAGATATCACCAGACAGGGACAAGAGGCTGAAATCATTTTCACTCAGGGATTCATACACACACACACACACAAAATTATGACATTCATTAGTGTACACATTTGTGATTTCTATATAAATTTAAGAAATTAGAACAAAGATACAATGAAAAGAGCATGGCACTCATGAATGTGTTTTCTTTTTACCTCTGACATAATAGGATATTTGTTGCCATGTATAGGTTAAGAACCATGACACAATATTGGATTTAATAATAGAATCAACAACAATCAAAACAGCATATTGCCTCTCCAGGATTTGATGTTCATATCTGATTTAAATCATTCGCTTTATTGATGTTTGTTAGTTTCCCCAGTGGCCATGAATAATGAGAATAGGAATATGAAGATGTAAGTGGCATGAAGGAAAGGAGCAGGCAAATGGTGATGACAATAGATGGGAGCATGCTGTCATGTGATTCAGACTGAGATCTGCAATTGGTTGATGTGCCCACCTGGATTCTTAAATTCCATTCAAGTGTAAATATCCTGAAAAACTTTTCAAAATTGCCATTTGTTTTTATTTTTTACTGAAATATCGCCAGTTCCCTTTAAATTATTTGCGAAGTTCAAATATAGCAATGCTAAGAGTTTGCTTTTTGACTTTCTAGCAAAATTCTACCTCTGAAGAAATGTTTAGTTTCATCATATCTCTGTCTTTATTTTCCTTTACAGTTATCATATAGTATTCAAATTAAATAAAATTCTGTTATGTTATTACATGGAATCATAATGAGGAGATGATTGCAACCAAGAAATAGAACTGCTAGAATATATAGACCTTATGACCATGAATTAGGGCATTGTTGCATACTAGGAATTCACAGGACTCTTCTGCTTATCTGGCTTTTGCTTAAGGCATAGAGAAAAATGAGGAGACAAAGAGAAATATAAAATAAATATAGAACCAGGACAGATTTAAATAAAAGAACCCTAAAAGATACTAAGAAAATTTCACTGTAAATCATTCCTAAAATACCTATGACTAACTGGACTATTTAAGAATCTACATTATTGTTGGTTAATTGATATTATTTATAATTTATCAAGAATATAATGTAATTTTTCATACTTTATGTCCATTTTTTTTCTGTATACATTTTTAATGTATCTATCATAATTCCTGAAAAACGAAAACAGCCAAAAATACGGTGCATTAAGGAAACTCACCTTGTTATTTTTTCTTTTTAAATTTCTTTTATAAATTTATTACAATTTATTTATTTGTATCCCAGCTGTAGCCACCTCTCTCATTTCCTCCCTCGTTTGTTCCCAATCCTGCCCTAGCAATCCTGCCCTCCCTTCCTCTTCTCCTCCCATGACCCTTCCCAGTCCACTGATAGGGGAATTCCTCCTCGCCTTCCATCTGACCCTATCCTATCAGGTCTCATCAGGATTGGTTGCCTTGTCTTACTCCTTGGCCTGGTAAGGTTGCTTCCCCTGTCAGGCTGAGGTGATCAAACAGCCAGTCACTGAGTTCACATCAGAGACAGCCCCTGCTCCCCTTACTAGGGTACCCACTTGGATACTGAAATGCCACAGGCTATGGCTGTGCAAGTGTTCTAGGTTAATCTCCATGAATGGTCCTTTGCTGGAGTATCAGTCTCAGCAAGTACTTCTGGGCCCCGATTTTGTGGTTCTGTTGCTCTTCTTGTGGAGCTCCTGTCTTTACAGGTTATTCTATCTCCACCTCCTTTCATAAGATTCTCTGTACTGTGTCCAGTGTTTGGCTATGACTCTCAGCATCTGTTTTGATACCTAACTGGGTTGAGTTTTTTCAGAGATACTCTTTTTAGGCATCTGTCCTGCTAACTCTTTTCTTGCTCTTCCAATGTCAACCCCATTTGCCTTTCTGAATGAATATTGAGCAACTTATCCAGGGTCCTCCTTCTTGCTTAACTTTTTTATGCATAAAGATTTTAGTATGTTTATCCTATATTATATGTCTGATATCCCATTATGAATGAGTATTCCATGTGTGTCTGTTGCTTTTAGATACCTCACTCAAGATGATCTTTTCTGGTTCCCACCATTTGCCTGAAAATTTCATGATTTCGTTGTTTTTAATTGCTGAGTAGTATTCCATTTTCTAAATGTACCACAATCCCTCAGTTGAGGGACATCTGGGTTGTTATGAATAAAACTTGTATGAAAATGGTAGAGCAAATGTCCTTGTTGCATACTCAAGAAATTATACAACAAAAAAAACCAATAGTCCAATTGAAAAATGGAGTACAGTACTAAACAAAGAATTCTCAATAGAGGAACATAGAATGGCAGAAAAACACTTAAAGAAATGCTCAACATCCTTAGTCATCAGGGAAATACAAATCAAAACAATCCTGAGATTTCACTGTACATCCATCAGAATGGCTGAGATCAAAACTCAAGTGACAACACATGCTGGAGAGGCTGTGGGGAACCCTCCTCCATTGCTGGTGGGAATGTAAACTTGTCCAACCACATTGGAAATCAATCTGGTGCTTTCTCAGACAATAAGGAATAGTGCTACCTCAAGATCCAGCTATATATACTCCTAGCTATATATCACGTATATATACCTAGTATAAAACAAGGACATTTCCTTACTGCAATATTTGTGTGTTCAGTTCCCCAATCTGGAGGGTTTGCGATGCTGGAGTGGCAGTGAGTTCTGGCCATGAAGCTACGATAATCCTCCCTAATCATTTTTGAAAGCTGCAAATAAAAAAACAAAAAACAAAAATCAGTTGATTTTCAGAAATTATAGAAATAACTGCATTAAGAGAATATTAATGTAGTTGTTGGTTATCTAAATTTTAATCTTAAAATGTCATAAAAACTAATATTAAAGAATTAAGAAACTGACCATCCATCAACTAATTCTTAGACTCATGTATCTGCATCTTAATTTGGCTCTTCACCCAAATTTTGAACTACTTCTTCTTATTCTCCTGTATTCCTAATTTTTCTAAAAGATACTATTTGGAAGACAAACACTGAGAGAAGTAAATTTATCAAGAACTAAATGTTTTAATTATCATCTTTCTCTAGTATTTCAGCAGGAAGCCATAGCACATGTTTATCAATCTTTCTGTAAATACTGATATTGACCTGCTCAGGTATCAGCCTTATAAATTTATTAATTGAACACTTAATACATAGCTGTATAATACAAAGATTTTAATAGTTTAAAAATGGAATTGTGTCTCTCTTGTTACAAAATTACAAATGAAAGATAGACTACTTAAAATAAACTCTAAGTGTACAAAGTGAGAAAATATTAAATTTAGTTAGTCTATTAGTAATTGTATGATTAATGAAATATCAAATAGTATTAAATATATAATTTAGGATATCTTATTTATTTCTAATAATCAGTTAACTCATGAAAGGTTAGTAATTATTGTGAAGGTTAAGACGTTGAAAACTGTCAGAATAAGAAATAAATAATACACAATAATGCTTTCTTTTTTTTTTTTTTTTTTTTTTTTTTTTATTAATTACACTTTATTCATTTTGTATCCCTACATAAGCCCCTCCCTCCTCCCCTGCCAATCCCACCCTCCCTCCCCTTTCTGCATGCATGCCACTCCCCAAGTCCACTGATAGGGGAGGTCCTCCTCTCCTTCTTTCTGATCTTAGTCTATCATCTAAGTTGCAGTCATTGGCATGAGGCTTCTTTGGGTAGCAGCTGGAAAGAAGTTAGATACTTACAAAATTCCTAAAATATATGGAAGAGCCGTCATTGCGGAACTGAGTCAAGTTAAGGGGGAAAAAATAACATCTAGTCAGAAAAAACAACATAAAAACATGTTTATTTCAAACAGAATCACATTCTCTTCATGCCCATCATATTGAAGGTTTGTCTATTTTTTTCTTTGGATTTTCTGACTTTGAGAAATGAAGTGTATCAATCAGCCTGAAATGAACAGATATACTTCTAATTCTGCCCTGATATTGGACAAATTCTAACACTATAAATTCTTAAACCACAATAACTAGTATTTATGTGCTTCTTAGAAATCTAGATTTCTTCCTTCCTTTATTCCTCCCTTTTTTCTTTCATCTCTCTCTTTCTCTTTCCCTTCCTTTCCATTCCCCTTTCTCTCTTTCATTCTCTCTCTTTTTCTTTCGCGCTGTCTCTCTATCTTTATTCTTGCATCTTACATGCCTTAGTTTACCTGTATTCCAAATATATAGTTCACTGCACTGTCCATACTTAGAGTGAGTATCTTAACTGCCCTAAATGAACATGGCCAATTGAAATTCATTTCCTTGAATGTAACAATAGGAAATGAGAATTCACTCCCTAGTCATATTTGTAAAGATCTCTAGTATAGGTTTTTTTTTTTTCACAAAAACAGAGAAAGTAGAAAAATCATCAGATTCATTGACATTTTATGAAACTGTCCAGTTGACCCTTGCCATGTATCTGTAGTTGATATGTCCTTTACCAAAGAAGTTTTATTTTCTGATATTTGAGTTGTGATGCTTACTGTCTCAGGTTCCAGCACAATTCAAACATTAGTATGAAGGTTGTGGTACTTACAAATTCTTCATTCATTTGCTCAGCAAGATTACTGATTGATTCAGCTCTATTGATGGTATTCTTAAATGTTTCCACAAGGGGTTCCGTACAGCCTCCCTCTTTGGCAAGACATGGCAGAATTGCTGCAGCTTTCTCCCACAGCAGCAGGTTTGACATCACCAAAAGCAGGAGTGTCCCTGCTACATAGAAACAAGAGCCACTTAGGAATAATGTATTGACTGAGGTTTACAAGGTTCACCTGATTCAGAAAATTTTTATCTGTCTGAAGTTTTCTTTACTACATGACTTGGTATTGAATATCTGGCATGATAGATATAATTACTGAGAGTATTTAGGCAAGTTAATGTGTTTTTCTCAATTTGAGAAGCAAGTCATTTCCCATTGCTTGTGTATCAGGAGTGCTTCTTAATTTTACAAATGTCTGTAACTGAAATTAATTCTGTAGAATATTTAAGCCCTTATTAAGATGATGTGGTAACCTTGGAGTTTAGCTCACTTTTAGTTACTAAACTCTTGAAAATTTTTTTAAATTTTTAATTATTTTATTTATTATAATTTATTTACTTTGTATTGCAGCTTGTAGCCCCCTCCCTCATCGCTTTTCAATCCCATGTTCCTTCTGTCTTCTCCTCCCATGACTCTTCCCCTCTCCACTAATAGGGGAGGTCCTCTTTCCCTTCTTTCTGACCCTAGCCTGTCAGGTTTCATCAGGACTGGCTGCATTGTCTTCCTCTGTGGCCTGGTTAGGTTGCTTCCCCTCAGGGGGTGATGATCATAGAGCCAGCCACTGAGTTCATGTCAGAGACAGCCCCTGTTTCCCTTACACGGGTGCCCATTTGAAGACTGAGCTGCTGTAGGCTACATCTGAGCATGGGTTCTAGGTTATATCCATTAATGGTTCTTGGTTGGAGTATCAGTCTCAGAAAAGATCCCTGTGCCCACATTATTTGGTTCTGTTGATCTCCTTGTGTAGCTCCAGTCCCCTCCATGTCTTTCTATTTCACCCTTCATTCCTATGATTCCAGATCAACCCCCTTATAACTTAGCAATTCCAAACTGACATCGTTTGAAGCATTCTCTTCATCTTTTGTATTAGTAATCATGTCTTTAGTTATTGTCAAATACGTAGAGAAAGCAAACAGATAAACTGTGCTATCTTTGTTCCATCAGTGTCTAAAATGGTGATATCTACCACGAAGTTTAAAAACAAAAAAATCCCTGCACTCTTGTATACTTGTACATTACCTTTCAGAAAATAATTTTAAAAGATGTAAGAAGATCAACGCTGGACTATTTTTTTTTTTTTTGCAAAACTATGAAGAAGTATTTGTTCATGTCAGACTAAACATCAAAGATTCCTAAAAACTTTATTAAAACAAACTAAACTAACAATTTCATTGAATCTTTTTCATAGAGAGACATAGAAGAAAATTCACTTACAGAAGTGACGTTGACTCAATGGCAGCTCCATCGCTGAGGAGTTCCCAGGCAGGATGACTGCTGACTCTGGTGAGGTTCTTCACTGGAGTCATGCATTCAGCTAGTTTCCTCCTACTATATATACTAGCAGATAAGCCCCAAGGGTATGCATACCCATGCGACAGCAAGAAGTCATGTTCATATGTGAACCATGTCTGTATATCTCCAGGGAATGTTAACAGATTTATTATCACATACTTATCTCTTTCTGGAGGATTTCCTTTTCATTCTTCCTGCGTCATGATTCCTGTCCAAGATAGTTTTGATATCTCTGAAGCCATCTTAGCGGCTTGATGACAAATGGTCAGGAATAAATTGTTGTTCATAATTACATCCACTTCCTTAGATTCTAATATTTTCTATCATCTCTTTCATAATGTTTATGGACAGAGAGGGATACCTTATTGAATATTTGGACACCAGGACACAGCATTAATAAATTATCCATGGTGTTATTATGAATCTCTGGCAGTAATCACTAAATACTGTGAATAGTGATTCTTTAAAACCTAAGATGAACTGATAGACTAAGATCAGAAAGGAGAGGAGGACCTCCCCTATCAGTGGACTTGGGGAGGGGCATGCATGCAGAAAGGGGAGGGAGGGTGGATCGGGAGGGGAGGAGGGAGGGGCTTATGGGGGGATACAAAATGAATAAAGTGTAATTAATAAAAAATTTAAAAAAAAGGAAAAAAAAACCTAAGATGACATTCAAAATAACCCCCATGCTTAATGTAGGTATTTAAAAGTCAGTTTAAAAGACATCAGATATATTTAACTATGACAACAACAAAAATCCCTAAATTCTCTCTAGGCGCAATGGCCCTTCAAGGTAATGAATGTGCATTGGCATGTAACACCGAGTACGGATTCTTTTCTCGGAATCGGTATTAATTACATCAGAAATTCAATGTACAAAACACTATCGTGCCGCTGTTGCCCTAGTGAAAACAGTTTTATACACTCACTGCTAGAATTAGCACTTTAGTCATAGCAACACTGGTGACAGTTCTCCAAAATCAACTCTATTGTGGCTGACAGATTTTGGTAGCCACTCAACACAGAGGAATTTTCCACTTCAATGCCAAGCAATTTCTTCATGCTGTTAACAGAGAATTCATGCTGCCTAAAGGGTTGAGGCCAACTATTTAGTTCTGGTGTTCATTCAAAAGAAGATACAGCTGCAAGAATGGTGTGAATGATCAGTCCTCACTCAGAATGACAAATGGGATGGACATTGGAAGAAGGAGAAAACAGGAAGCAGGACAGGAACCTAAAACAGAGGGCCTCTGAAAGACTACCCAGCAGTGTTTCAAAGTCGATGCTGAGAGTTTTGACCAATCTTTGGGCATGGTGCCAGGGAATCCTATGAAAGCAGGGGGAGATAGTGGGACCTGGAGAGGACAGGAGCTACATAAAAAGAGCAACAGAACCAAAAAACCTGGGCACAGAGATCTTTTTCTGAGACTCATACTTCAACCAAGGACCATTCATGGAGATAACCTAGACCCCCTGCTCAGATGAAGCTCATGGCAATTCAGTATCCAAGTGGGTACCATAGTAACAGGAACAGGAACTGTCTCTGACATGACAGGAACTCGGTGCCTGGCTCTTTGTAAGTGGCCTCAGAAACCCATCTTTCAAACCAGTCTTATGAAATGAACTCAGTCTGAAATCTGGGATATTATTGAATAAACATGTGGTTTATTTACAGGTACATTTACCTTCATGTATATTCTTTCTTATAAATTATTTAACAGCCTCATTTGTATCCTTTCTGATGTGTCACCAAATAAGGAATCTGTACAGAGGTTGTATATATGTAATGGAAGTTTTATAGAGATTCACCATTTCTGTAGACAAATAGTACCTGCTTCAGGAAACCATAAATTCACTTTCTGGTTCTGTATATAAGTGAATATTTATTATGCCTTAGCATTGACGTTGCACATCATAGACAAGCCCCAAATGTATATTGTTTTTTCCTTCCAAAGCACACGGTTGTGTGGGTTAGCATGGATGGCTTCATCACTTCTATTCTAAGCCTATGACCTGATGACAGCGCTATGATCTGTTTTGGTTGCTGCACCTGGGACTGTGACATTTGATCAAGGAAGTGTTGGCGTCTGGCTAAGGGTGAAGAAAGAACAGGTCACACTCAGAACAGCCAAGCTTAATACACCTCAAATTTAGTTTAACTTATCAACAGTTTCTTGCTTGGTCTTAATCCCCTGAAGCCTTTTATCTGTCAGCAGTATTTTAGGAAAGTACCAAAGTTTGGGTGAATAATCTTCACACAGACTCCCCTTTCCTCAGCCACAAGTCAACATAACTTGCACAGCCTCACGCAACATATTTCAAACCTTTTGTGCAGCTTGTTTTCCTGCTTCACCTCCATCCTGCACTCCTATCTATGTGAGGGAGATGTACATACAGTATTGTGGGAGGCAGACATAATTGCCTACCCCTACAGTAAGTTTTATGTTCCCTGATCTATTTCCTCATTCTTCCACTATTGCCTTTAGCCCTAGTGATTTTGGATACCCAGGAATACTAGTCTTCCTGACAAATTGGCATGGCTTTTTCCTTTAAGATGTCCTCAGGTCCTTCCTATTTTCAGGAATGTACTATTAGTCAACCTGCTGATTTTACCATATATCCTGTCCATCTATTTCCTGCAATAGGGAGCTGAGTGGAAAACAGTGTCTCATCATTTACCCCATTTATTCTCTTTACAGACATTTTGCTGCTCATATCTCCCACACATTCTGTCTAGTCAGCATTTCCTTGGATATCCTAGATTGGTCACAGTGCAGATGTTGCCACATTTGACTTCCCATGAGCCTTGTTCTCATATTTTTTTCCTTTATTCTCTTAATTTCATTAGCACTTTTTGAGTAATATTTAAAGCAAATTCCAGTCAATTTATTACCAGAAATTCCTTCTACTTCAAGTGCAATTTTATGCTGAATTATCACTGGAGAGGAGAAAATACAGAACTTCTAAATTCACAGTTTTGGGAACCAGGCTGTCATCTCCTCTCATAAAGTGAATGTGTTTTTGAGGAATGCAGGAGGTGAAGTCGAAAGCTGCCTGATATAAGTAAAGGGGCTTAGTAAAGGGACTTATTCTTGCCATGCCCAAAGAGGTGTATTCAACTTGATTTTAATCTAGTCAAAAGAAATGTTATTTTCATCATAATGACCTGACTATAGTGCTCAATTAAAAGATTTATCCTCTTCTAACCTGTTTTGTCTTCTAAAATCTTCTTGGGTGTTTGTATTCTTATTTTTTTTTCATAGATTTTGGGATTGTTTTCTGCCATTCTTTTATTTTATGTTTGGAAATTTTACAAAGTAACTGTCACAAACACTTGTGAATGCTCTCTCTGTCCGAAGTACATACAGTCAGATATACATTGTATATGTGTGTATATATATATGTATATATATATATATGCATACACAAATATACAAAAAATACATACACATATATACACTTATGCACATAAGTATACATTATCTCTAAGTGAAGCCCACATTCACAGTGAAAAGAAAAATTGCCCTAAGCCTAGATTACAAAAAGAAAACTTTACAATCACAAAAAACTTCCAAACCCCCACACTTACAGGTCAGAACAGGAAACTACTAATAACACTGTACTAATGCCAATTTTGTTATCTCTACACTTGGGCACTTCTGCAGTTGTTGGGTGCATATCAATAAAGAACGAAATTGAAGACCCTTCTTCAAGAATTTTAGACTTTTCTTTGTAAAAGAAACGATAAGACAACAAATACGGGAAGAGAGACAGTACTCTGAGGTATGTGCACAAGCTGTTCGTGCTTTAGAAAAAATATTAGCAAAGTAGTAGAAGTTTGCGGGTAACAGGTAATAAGAAGAAAATATTTCTAGGCCAGGAGTTGCAGTTCATTCAGAAATACACCAATCCTAATCCTGACTTGCTGACATAGAAGTGAACTTGAAAAACTCTCCCTCCTTTACGCAGCATTTGTTAGAGTATTTTATCACAGAAATACGACAGGAACATTAGCTGTTATGTGTGGGCGTGTGTGTAATTGTGATTACATGTTTGTATGAGTGTCTATGTGTGCATAGAGATGTGTCTATATTGTTCATGTATGTTGTGTGTGTCAAGATGTGCAATTGTACATGTACATACACATGTATATGTGGGCCTAGCCTTTCTTCACTCTCTACTCTTTTTTTTTTTAATTTTCAATTTTATTAATTACAGTTTATACAGTTTGTATCCCCCCCTGTGGTTCCCTCCCACCTCCCCTTCCAATCTCTCCCTTCCCCCTTCTCCATGCATGTCCCTCTCCAATTCCACTGGTGGGAGAGGGCTTTTCATCCATTCTGATCCTAGTCTTTCAGGTCCAAGAGTGGCTGCATTGTCTTCCTCTGTGAACTGGTAAGGCTGCTGCTCCCTCAGGGGGAGGTGATCAAAGAGCAGGCCAATCATGAAATTTGCAGGTAAATGGTGGGAACTGGAAAAGATCATCCTGACTGAGCTCTCCCAAAGGCAGAAAGACACATATGGTATATACTCACTCATATAGACATATAATATAGGATAAACCTGCTAAAATCTGTACACCTAAAAAAACTAATCAAGAGGGAGGACTCTGGCTATAATGCTCAATCCCCTTCCAGAAAGGCAAAGAGGATGGACATCAGAAGAAGGAAAAAACAGGGAACAAATTCGGAGCTTGCCACAGAGGGCCTCTGTAAAGCTCTGTCCTGCAGACTATCACTCAGTGGCTGGCTCTTTGATCACCTTTCTCTGAGCAGTGTGGAGTCAGCCTTATCAGGTCACAAGGAAGAAAATGCAGCCAGTCCTGATGAGACCTGATAGGGTCAGATGGAAGGGGAGTGGGACCTTCCCTGTCAGGGGATTGGGGAAGGGGGTTTGGAGAAAAGACAGGGAATGTGGGATTGGGCGGGGACTAGATAGGGGGCTAAAGCTGGG